TTTTATGAAATTTTGCCAAGCTTAGAGGAAAATATTAGCAATAATACAATACATTTATTTTCGCAGAAATGTCATGTTAGCAGGTGTTCTAGAAAATGCTACTTTTTAATAGAGTGCCCATTTAGCAAAAGTGAAATGACCAAATGTGGAAATAAGCACTTTACAAGATGATCAGATGGTGAAATAATACCAGAAATATTAGTTAACAAGCACACTTTTATTACAAAAGATGCCACATTTCAGACTATCATGTATATTTAAAATATGTTGTATCCTGACTGAAGGTTTGTCAATGTTGATAAAATAAGAATGTTAGAAGCATTTTTTTGTGTTAAACCAGTGGTCGGCAAACTCATTAGTCAACAGAGCCAAATATCAACAGGACAATGATTGAAATTTCTTTGGAGAGCCAACTTTATTAAACTTAAACTTCTTCTGACACCACTTCTTCAACATAGACTCGTCCAGGCCGTGGTATTTTGTGGAAGAGCCACACTCAAGGGGCCAAAGAGCCGTATGTGGCTCCAGAGTCACAGTTTGCTGACCACGGTGTTAAACAGTAAGAACGCATTTATTATGTACACACCATTCCCCATGCATTCTCATGGATGTTTACTAGTTACTAACTCTTCAGTGTACTCTTTCAAATGATATCCTTTATATTAACTTGATTCAGTATCCTGAGTAGAGCCAGGAACCGGTATTTTTACAAAGAACGGCAGAGGATTTGATGAGCGGCCAAGTTTGAGAATCACTCCATTAATTGACAGGGTAGTTTTAAAGAACATCACGCTTTACAGTCAGAAACAACCCCAAACAAATCCCTACTCTAACCTTTATAGACCAAGTGGGCTTGGGCAAGCAGTTTAGTTTCCCTAAAATTCAAACATACTTTTCTAAAATGAGAATAATGCCTTAAACACAGAATAATGTAAGTATACAAGAAAATGTATATAAACGCTTATAATATGTATGTAAATATTAAATAGATGTTAACTGTTAATTAACTATTTTAACTGCTCAAACCATCCACCTCTCCTCCATTCCCTACCTTTGTTCCTGCTCCTCTCTCAAGCTGGTACTCTCTAATTTTTCCCCTACTTTTTTTTTAATACTTTTATTGGTTTCAGAGAGGAAGGGAGATGGAGAGAGAGATGGAAACATCAATGATGAGAGAGAACCATGGATCTGCTGCCTCCTGCACACCCAACACTGGAGATCGAGCCTGCAACCCAGGCACGTGCCCTGACTAGTAATCAAACCGTGACCTCCTGGTACATAGCTCAACACTCAACCACTGAGCCATGCTTAAAGGCTGGGCAAACTTGTAAGCCTATAAGCCACTCTTTCGGTCTCTACCTGCACAGACACCTATCTTCCTTCTTCTTCTCTAGATTAGGCCAACTATTCATCCTCTATGCTTACACATCACTTCTCTTCATTCATGAAATAATAGTCATTGAACACCTATGATATACTAGTAGACATTGAGGACACAGGAGAGAACAAAACTGATGTGCTGACATTCTAATAGAAAATATATTTTTAAAATTACATAAGTAACCCTAACCGGTTTATCTCAGTGGATAAAGCATTGGCCCATGGACTAAAGGGTCCCAAATTCAATTCGGTCAAGGGCATGTACCTTGATCGCGAGCACATCCCCAGTAGGAGGTATGCAGGAGGCAGCTGATTGATGTTTCTCTCTCATCGTTATTTCTAACTCTCTATCCCTCTCCCTTCCTCTCTGTAAAAAATCAATAAAACATATTTTAAAAATTACATAAGTAATTTTCATTGTGATCTAATCATTACACTGCAATCAATTATTTGTGTCTGTTTTTCCCCACTAAATACTAAGTCTTTCACATCTATATCAAGTTCATTTTTATATTTCTGGCATTGAACAATGTCTGGCATAAAGGAGATATTAATAAATATTCTTAACTAAAAAGATGAAAGGCTTAATTAATGAAAGTAAGTTCTGGAGAAGAAAAAAGTAGATGAATTATGAATACAAATGAGGAAAGGAAGGCTCTTCTATTAAAAAACTAAGGGGCACCAGAAAGGAGTGCTGAAGATATGTTTAAAGGTAGAGGCAACAAGCTGAGGGAGTTCAGGTGTAATGCTGACCATTTTTAAGAAAACGAAGCACAATCATCTACTGCAGTGGTTCTCAACCTTTCTAATGCCGCGACTCTTTAATACAGTTCCTCCTGTTGTGGTGACCCCAACCATAAAATTATTTCCGTTGCTACTTCATAACTGTGATTTTGCTACTGTTATGAATCGTAATGTAAATATCTGTGTTTTCTGATGGCTTTAGGTGACCCTGCTAGCAGTTTCAACCTGTGGGTCTTGACTGTAGAGCCTCAGGTTGAGAATCTCTAGCAGAGTCGCCTAAGACCATCAGAAAAAAAATACAGATCCAAATATTTCCTATTTTGAGGGAATTCCTATTGTGTGGATTAGCAGAGTACAATGTCATCTCACTAAAGAAGCCAAAAGGGACAGATCTTCCCTCTCAGTCTTCAGGTAGTAGAGGAATAGAAATGTGACCCAGGCTCAGCCAATCAATAGTCTTGTGCAGGATTTTGAATTTTAAGGAGCTAATACAAAAAAGTAGGGACAGTTTTTTAATTACATATGGGTATGGAAAAAGCAATAACAGCAAGAATTTAGCTAACAGTGGTAGGGCAGTAGTACTGTTAGGGACCGAAATGAAATACTGGGGACTATTTGTAAGAAGTATTATTCATGCTCTGTTAACCATGATTGTTTTATTCTGATTTAAAAAAGCACATTCACCCGCTGTGGCTCAGTGGTTGAGTGTCGATCTATGAACCAGGCACCAACGGTTCAATTCCTTGGCATTTCTTTATCAGTTTTCATGCCTGGGTTGTGGGCTCGATCCCCAGGGTGGGGCATGTGCAGGAAGCAGCCAGTCAACATGTTTCTCTCTCTCTCTCTCTCTCTCTCTCTCTCTCTCTCTCTCTCTCTCTCTCTCTCTCTCTCTCTCCCCCTTCCTCTCTGAAACACATAAAAACATTAAAAAATAAAAATAAAAAAAATAAAGAAATAGAGCCCTACACGGTTTGGCTCAGTGGATAAGAGCGTCAACCTGTGAACTGAAGTGTTCCAGGTTCGATTCCGGTCAAGGGCATGTACCTTGGTTGCGGGCACATCCCCAGTGGGGGGTGTGCAAGAGGCAGCTGATCGATGTTTCTCTCTCATCGATGTTTCTGGCTCTCTATCCCTCTCCCTTCCTCTCTATAAGGAATCAATAAAATATATTTTTAAAGAAATAGAAAGCACATTCTAACCTGGCTGACAGTTGTACACCCCGGGACTTAGGAGTCAACCTTGGACCTGGGTGTCAACCTTGGAATGGGGTCCATTCTCATCCAAGACCTGCCTATTATCACAGAAAGGTTAACAACACTGTTGCCCAAATAAGGATGGCCTGCCCTGAGCCCACATCGCCTGTAACCTCTAAGTAACCATTATTCTCATTGTTTCCCTTTAGCCTACTTTCCCTGTAACCTTTCTCCTCCCCAACAGAAGCAGCTGCTTATGGAGGCTCAGGGCAGATTTTGGTGGATGACGTGCTGCTCTCCCATGCTGCCGGCAACACTGGAATAAACACTCATGTATGACTCAACCCTGTCTCTGCTCAATTGGCTTAAACAGTGACAGGCAGCCTGGACCCACTGGTCATCCAGTTTCAGCTCAGCAGAAGATTAACCAAACTGTCCTTGTAGCATGACCTCAGCTGTACAACCTCCTTGGTTTTTGCTGGTTGTGTTTCCAAGTTCACTCTCCAGATTCCTGCTGATTTTATGAGCTCCCTGCTAACTTCTAATAAATTCCTTTTCTACTTCCACTAGCCACTATCTGTTTTATTTGGCTGATAAATTGGGGGGGCGGGAGGGGGGGGATAGAAGGATTGCAGAAACCAGAGGCTTGATAAGGTCCAACAGCAGGTATTTTAAGTAAGGAAACCGAACACCACTGGCAGTCTGGGAGATTATGGTCAGTTGATAGTATAAGAGTTAGGATTTCAAAGTGCCTCACATGATGTAGATATGAGAATAAGATGTTAAAAAAGAATGGAAATGAAGATCACTGAAGTTGAAAAAAATAAAGAATTATGAAACTACTGTGTTGGATGAATGGCCTACCTGAAGTCATCCAGAATGATGGTGGAATATGGAATGGACAGACATGAAAAGAAATACCAAAGGCTTTGATCAGCAAACAGTAAGCAAAAGGGAGACAGTAATAAAGAGAAAAGGTGAAGTAGAACAAGTTTCAAAGGAAGAATTTTTATGTAAGAATGAAAGAGCAATAATTTGGAATTTGAAGTGGGCTAATTCAACTTCTACTTGAAGGCAAAAAGACATGAGAGAATGACTAGTCTTTACTCTGAAATGGCTCCAAAAGAAGTGGTAGGCCAAGAGAAAGCGGAGATTAAGTTAAGAAAAAGGGATGAGAAGAGTGTTCTACAAAAAGATTACTTGTCCACTCATCTGCTGATGGGCACATGGGTTGTTTCCAAATCTTAGCTATTGTAAATTGTGCTGCTATGAACATAGGAATGCATATGTCCATTCTGATTGGTGTTTCATCCTAGAAGTAGAATTACTCATCAGCAGATGAGTGGATTAAAAAACTGTGGTAAACCTACAAAATGGAATACTACACCGCTATGAAAAAGAAGGAACTTTTACCATTTGCAACAACATGGATGGAAGTGGAGAGCATTATGCTAAGCGAAATAAGACAGTCGGAGAAATATAAATATCACATGATCTCACTCATATGTGGGATATAATGAGCAACAATAATTTGATGAACAAAAATAGATCCAGAGACAAATGGCAGGGGAGGTGGGGGAGTTAGAGAGCAACCAAAGGACTTGTATGCATCATAGTAGCATAACCAATGGACAGACACTGGGGGGTGGGGGCTTGCCCAGAGTGGGAATGGCTGGGATGGAGGAACTGTCAGTGGGAGAGGAAAGGAGACATAAGTAAAACTTTAGACAATAAAAAAAAAAGTATTTGTAAAGAAATTTATTTACATGAAAATAAGTCTCAAGCACCAAAGGACTCCATACACAATAGTGAGAAGACAGTCAGGAGGAAGGGAAAGGACAGGTAAAGAAGGTCAGAGCTATATAAAGAAGGGAACACAAGAAAAGAAAATAACTGGAGATGTCTGCATATGAAACAGAAGTCAAACAGCTGAATATAAATATGCTGAAGAAAATTCACATTTAAATACAAAGGCAATAATCCTATAGAATATTTCCCCTCTTTTACCTAAGGCCCAGGCTCCTGTCTTCTTACTCAAATTCAGATTCAACTCTGGGTCCTCTGGTGAAATATTGACAAGTTAGTTGATCTTTGTAACCTTCAACTGGGGTGGCAGTTCCTTTCAGGACTGTAAATACCAAATGGACAACAGGAGTTGGTTTAACCCAATACTTAGAACCTGTAGGCACTAATAAACACTCACTAGACTATTAAATTCTAAAGGCAAAAGTGACAGAATACCACTTAGATCATAGTAATAATAATACAGAATTTTGGAACCTGAAAGTGAGATGCTGCCATAACAAATGCCAAAAAAATGTGGGAGAGATTTAGAGTCAGGAAATGCTGGCTTTTGAGTATGCTGTAGGTTACAGCTTAGAGGAAAGTGAGGAAAATCATACTGCCAACTATGAAGGGGGGTCCTTTTCATGAATAGCAGGAGAAATATTAACTTGGGAGGTAGAAAATATTCATGATAAACTAAATGGTCTATATAAAAAATTTTCTAGGAAAACTACTAAAGGTGCACCTTAGTTCCTTCTAGCTGCATTTAATAAAACTAGAGGCCTGATGCATGAATTCATGCACCAGCAGGGTCCCTCGGCCTGGCCAGCAGGATCAGGCCAAACCCGGCTCTCCAAAGTCCCCCAAAGGGTACCAGATTGCAAGAGGGCACAGGCCCAGGGACCCCACCAGTGCACAATTGGGACCAGCAAGGGATGTGGGAGATTGGCCAACTGGGAAGGGACCTCGGGAGGGCTCCAGGGCATGTCCGGCCCATCTCACTCGGTCCTGATTGGCAGGAACCAAGTAGCAAGTTAACCTACTGGTCGGAGCATCTGCCCCTGGTGGTCAGTGCACGTCATAGCAAGCAGTTGAGCAGCCTTAGCATATCATTATAATACTAGAGGCCCATTGCATGAAGAGATTCATGCAATAGGCCTTCCTTCCCTGGGCTCCCAGCACCGGTTTTCCTCTGGCACCCGGGACCCAGGCCTTCGCTCCAGCTGGAATCTGCCATCTTTGCTTCAGCTGGAATGCTACTCCTGTAAATCACTTAGCCCTCCACCCTCCTCCTCATAGCAAGCATCCCGTCCCCCCCTCCCCCCTACTCCCGCAACTGGAGCAGCTGGGCAGTCAGCATCTTTGTCCTTCTAGTTTGCATATTCCCTCCTGAGTGGCTGGTGGGGGAAGGGGAGTGATGGTTAATTTGCATGTTTCTCTTTTATTAGTGTAGATTACACTTTGGTTGAATGGCTGGCTCAACGACCAGAAACATAGCATATTAGGCTCTTATTATATAGGATGGAGGAGAAAGATCGCCTACAGGAAAAACTTAAACGAAAAGGAGCCATGAATTGCTACAGTTATGAAATTAACTGCCTCTCCAGATGGCAACAGATGCTAAGATAAAAATGGCTTCTGGGGAAAAATCAAATTTAAGGCATTGGCAGAAAAACACAGCTTAAACATGAAACAAAGTATATGGCTATAAAATCCTCTCTTAAGACCTCAGAAAGATCAAATCTAGCATCTCAGGCATCACACAAACTAGCAAAAGAACCTCTTAGGAGTTTAAGGATGTGTCTCAGAAATCCTTTCAATCAAACAAGAAGGCTTCAAAGGAAGCCTAATATCTCTTAGCTATTTCAGTAGAAGCCCGAAGTAGAGAATGGCTTATCTCAAATAAATGTGGCTATTGTCCAGTAGACAGTAAGATTCATAAGACACACATGAAGATATTAAGATATTTGCAGCTCTAGCATGGACTGAAAGAAGATAAAGATAGCACAAATTGAAAAAAAAATAAAATGAAACAACTGGAAAATTCTTTTTCTTTTCTTTTTTTTTTTGCCAGGACACAGACTATATTGGAGAGAAGAGTACCGCTGCCAGCTGCTTCCAGAGAGAGAGAGTGCGGAAGAGAGTGAGGGCGAAGATATAAGCACTTTTTAAGGGGAGGATAGGGGACAGGGCTTAGGGCACTCCGCACATGCTGATTGGTGGTTTCATGTAAGGCCTATGATTAGAGATCTAGGGACTTAGGAATCAGGGGTTAAGGGTATTTGGCAGGTGCTGATTGGTGGTTCAGTGCTCAGGCATATCTGGCTGCAGGTAGAGTTTACGTCTGTCCATCAACTAGAGGAAGGGAGGATCCAAAAATTCTATTGGCAGTAAACAGGTTTAGAAAATTGCTTAGTTGAAAACATGTACTCTCTCTCATAAAAGGGAGCGGGACACAGAGGGCGAAACCCAGAGCCAAAGGGCAGAGCTAAAAGCCAGCCAGAATCATTTCAGGACAAGAAGACCAAATCCTAATCAAGAACCTTCCACTATTTGCCCACACATTGACTGGGCCTATGTCAAACTGCCACAGAAACCACGGAAAGAGCTTCGACTGGCTAGAGCTGTAACAATCTGAACAAAAACACAGAGGGCACTGAATTATAATTCTAAGTATAAATTAACGTCCACACGTCTGCACTGACATAAAGGAATGACTGAGAAAACAAATACATAGGAGACAGGAAACAAACCTATGCAGAAGAATTCCAAATAATTCTCTGTCCTCAAGAAGGCAAACTCCCCACTCCTTCAGTGTGGCTCTACATAATGACTTCCTTCCCAGAGTCCAGGATGGAAAAGGGAGAGGAAGAGTAAGTTTACAGTGGAGAAACCTGACAGAACTCCCAGCAGGTGATCCCGGTCAATGCCAACAGTGACACAAATTATACCAATATGATGTGAAGAAAATAGCATTTTACCTCTGTGGTCTTCCACCCCAAATTCCATACACGTTTAATTATGAGAAAAACATCACACAAGCTGAAACTGGTTTGGTCGGACTGAAGGGTCAGTCCCAGGTTCGATTCTCGTTGAGGGCATGTACATTGGTTGTGGGCACGTCCCTAGTGGGGGGTGTGCAGGAGGCAGCTGGCCAATGTTTCTGTCTCATCAATGTTTCTAGCTCTCTATCCCTCTCCCTTCCTCTCTGTAAAAGATAAATAAAATATAAAAAATAAAAAAATCACACAAATTCCCTTCTCTCTCCCACTGTTCAGAGAAATTAAATGAGATGCCCAAGTAAAATTGGGGGTGGGGAGTAGGGGGGGAGAAGCAGTGTCCAGAACATCAAGACCTGGTCTTTAGACTCAAAATTTATTGCTGCATTTAAAAAATAAATTATTTTATTACATTCAGTAATATACTTCTAAGAATAAAATACCCAGCAAAATATTAAAGAATCACAGCATGTGAATATCATCTTTTTAAATGGGAATTTCCAAATTGCCTTCCAAAAACACTATACCAATTTTTTAAAATATATTTTTATTGATGTCAGAGAGGAAAGGAGACAGAAAGAGATAGAAACATCAGTGATGGTAGAGAATCATTGATTGGCTGCCTCTTGCATGCCTCATACTAGGGATCGAGTTTGCAATCTGGGCATGTACCCTTGACAGGAATCAAACCCAGGACCTTTCAGTCAGCACGCTGATGCTCTATCCACTGGTAGAGCAGGGCCAATGGACCAATTTTTATTTTATTTTATTTTCATTTTGGGTGTGCTCAAATTTCCATTTGATTTTTTTAAATTGTGATAATATATAAAAAATTAACCATCATGCCCTATCTGGTTTGGCTCAGTGGGTAGAGCATCAGCCTATGGACTGAAGGGTTCCAGGTTCAATTCTGGTCAAGAGCACATGCCCAGGTTGTGGGCTCAGTCCTCAGTTGGGGGCATGCAGGAGGCAGCTGATCAATGATTCTCCTTCATCACTGATGTTTCTCTCTCTCTCTTCCTCTCCCTTCCTTTCTGCAATCAGTAAAAACATATTTTAAAAAATTAACCATCTTAACCATTTTAAGTGTACAGTTCACTAGTGTTATTAAGTACATTCACATTGTTGTGCAACCAATATTTTCAGAACTCTTTCATCTTGCAAAACCTCAACTCTACACTTATTAAATAACTTCCCTTTTCCCTTTCCCCTGGCAACTGCCATTCTACTTTCTGTTCCTGAGTCTGATTACTCCAGGTACTGCAAATAAGTGAAATTATACAGTACTTGTCTTTTTGTGAATGGTTAGATTCACTTAGCATAATTTCAAGATTCAACCTTGTGGTAGCACGCCAGAATTTCCTTCCTTTCTAAAGCTAAATAATATTTTGTTGTATGTGTATAATACATTCTGTTTATTCATCCACTGGGACACTTGAGTTGTTTCCACCTTTTGGTCATTATGAATAATGCTGTTATGAACGTTGGGTATACAATTACCTATTCCGAGTTCCTGCTTTCAATCATTTTGGGTATAAACCCAGATGTGGAATTGCTGAATCATATAGTAATTCAATCTTTTCTTTTCTTTTTCCAGGAACTGCCATACCATTTTTCATAGCAGCTGCACCATTTTCTTTATTGACTAGAGGCCCGTGCACGGGGCGAGAGGGAGGGTCCGTCAACTCAATCTGCACCCTCTCCAATCCGGGACCCCCTCGGAGGATGTCCGGACTACCTCTCGCAATCCAGGACCACTAGCTGCCTGCCTTCCTGCCTGATCACCCCTAACCACCTCTGCCTACCTGATCGCCCCTAACCACCTCTGCCAAGCCCCACACCGGGACCCAGGATCCCCTTCTCTGGCTGTTGCAGGCCCTCGGACCCGTGCTTCTCTCCCTCTGGCTGGCTGCAGGCGCCCAGGACCCGGGTGGACCGCAGCTGCAGGGGACGTGGGGCGGCGGCTTCCCCCAGGCCACAGCTGCAGGCGCTCGCGAGCACAGGTGGGCGGCTGACCCTCTCCAGGGCTGCAGGCGCAGGTGCAACCGTTGGCACCCGGGACCATGGGCCGGGCATCTTTTCCCTGTCCCAGGACATAGTCGCAGGCACTGGCACCCAGAACCACAGGGCCACAGCCTGTCCCAGCCAGGGCTGCAGCCTGGCTGGTCTCCATTCCTCTCTCGTGAGCTCATTTGTGCTTGAATGGTCCCCATTCCTCTCTGGCGAGCTCATTTGTACCTGGCTGGTCCCCATTCCTCTCTCCCCAGTATTGAGTGTCTGAGCATTATGGCATGAACACGCGATGAACATCTGCATATTAGCTCTTTATTATATAGGATTTTAGAGGGAGGGAATGTAGAATGATGGAAGTGGAAACCTGGGTATGTGCCCTGACTGGGAATGGAAACCACCACCTTTTGATGTATAGGAGAACGCTTCAACCAACGGAGCCACACCACCCAGAGCAAGCTGTACCGTTTTATATTCCCACCAACAACATACAAGGGTGCCACTTCCCCACATCTTCATCAACACTTCTTTTAATAGTAACGAATCTAATGGGTCTGAAGTGGTATTACATTGTCCATTTGATTTTTTAAATAAAGAATTTTTTACAAATTTTTATACATCAAAGATAAATTTAAATCCAGTTTTTCTCCAAACTTTATTAATTCTAAATTAGAGGAAGTTAAATTTCAATAAGCTAGTTTTTTTCTTTAGTTAGTCTCTACCTAGAGACAGTCTAAAACAGGGACAAAACTTGTGAAATGGCCCCAAATATATGTATAAATGCATCATATGTGATCAATAGTTGGTAAGACTTGGATTTAAGTTTTTCTTGCTCCTTAGATTCCATGTCTAATAGCTGTTCCCTAAATGTAGCAAGCACTTCCCTTCCTATTTATCCAGCATTCCTTTAGTGTCAGGCATTGGGGCAGGGACTGAGGATATAAACATGAATAAAAAGACACTGTCCCCATTACAACAACATTATGGATACATACTAGAGGCCCGGTGCACAAATTTCGTGCACGGGGAGAGGGGGGTCCTTCAGCCTGGCCTGAGCCCTCTCGCAGTCCGGGACCTCCAGTGGGGATGTCTGCCAGCCAATGAGAACTGATCCTGATCGGGCCTAAGCTGGCAGCCAGACAGCCCTCTTGCAGTCCAGGGCTCTCAGTCTGGGACCCCTCGCTCCTTAGCGCCTGCCTGCAGTGGAGGAGGGAAGGGCTCCTGCCTCTGCCACGCCCCCTCTGGCCAGAAGCCAGGCTCGCTGCAGAGGCAGGAGAGGTCCCAACGCCGCTGCGCTCACCGGCTGTGAGCCCGGCTTCTGGCTGAGCGCTCCCCTGTGGGAGCACACTGACCCCCTGGGGCAGCTCCTGCATTGAGTGTCTGCCCCTGGTGGTCAGTGCGCGTCATAGCAACCGTTCATTCTGCCATAATGGCCGCTTAGACTTTTATTATAGATAATTATTCCCAAAATACATTTGAAGGACCTGAGGTTTACTAGGTTTAACAATCTTGGCTAAGATCAGATAGAGGTTGGAAAAGCTAGAATTCAAATTCGGGTCTTACTCAAAAGCTCACTTTTTCTACTATTTCAAATCCTATTCTGTACTATCAACAGTTCCCTTTCTTAAAAAGCAATATTCACCAGTAATTTCTGGGGGTTTTTATCATAGATTTCCAAATGTTAGGTTTTGACAGGTGAGGCATGATTACAGAAAAATAATAACAATTATGATGATAAACATGTAAAACCTTTTCCATCTAGGAGTTAATAACTAAGTCGGAGGAACTTTACCAAGCAAAGCAACAAAGAATATTTTAGTACAAACAAAAATAGTAAATCCTAAAGAGATCTTCGAGTATTTGAGGCTTACTAAAAAACTGTCATATCTTCCAAAACTCACAAGCCTGCCAAAAGTTAGAATTTTATTTCGTTTCCTAGGAATGATTTGAATTACAAACAGAAGATCCTTCCAGTCCTATAATAAAATTCTCTAGGCAACAGAACCAATAAAATAAGATGTAAAGATCCAAAGAATCTGTACTGATTTTCCATTTAAACATTTTTTAATCTAAGACAAATTAAATTATAAAATGTTGAAGCACAAAAATACTACAAGTAAGATTAGCAACTTCAATAAACACAATCTTAT